AGCAACTGACAGGCTTTATCACACCATATTCACCGAGAAAGGGCGGGCCATTAACGCTATTATCATATAGCTTACACGATAGCCTATCCAAACTGATGCAGTAAGTGACACAATGTACAATTTACCCGTTGCACATGCTGAATAGAACATAGTTCCATCTGGAGTCACTTGAGGTCACTGGGTAGAGTTCACGTTCTATGTCTTCTATCTGGGTCACAGGCAGGGAAGAGGTGTTCTTATGGGAGTCACCCGAGGTCATTGGAACACAACTCAAGTTATTTTTGGATTTTTTAGAACTAGAGCCGTGTTCTATTGGGTCACCTGAGGTCATATGCGGGTGATTATTGGGTTTGTTTAATGTATGGATTGGGATGAATAAATACCCAATTTTGACTCTATTTGTGACGTTACGGCGTCATAAGGAATGTGGAATGGAGCCTTCTGATTGGTCAACGTCACCCGGCTATATGATAATATGCGATAAAATTAATATTCCATTGTCATCGTCATAAAAGAGCGATATCCGCAGCAGCCGCCGTTGGAGCCTGCCGTCGAGGCTATGGTAACCTTGACGTCACGTAAATGTAGAGATAGAAAAACGGGAGAATTTCAACGCCTGACGCGCGCTGACGCCGTCAGGGACAATGCATGCACGGGAAGATTCTTCGCCTTGTACGAGGAATTACCCCTCAACAATATAGCTTCTTTCTGCTTTTGTCCTCCTCAACGGCGTTGAAGCATAATGCTTTTTACACGTCAAGTAGCTACAAATGCGATGTGGCCTCGCTACGTCCACCTAAACGGCGTTTAAGCATGATGCTTTTTACACGACAAGTAGCTACTAATGCGATGTGGCTTCGCTAAGCTGAAAGAAGGAAAGGCCTTTATTGTAATTACGTAAGTTTATGCTTAGTAACAACAAAGCTTAGTACAAACAACAAAGCTTAGTACAGGTCTATGTTTAAAATGTCCAAAGCATTTAAGTAAGTTTCTATGTAATGTACAGTCAACAACAAAATGACACTTATCCTCAATTTTATCTGAATTACAATATTAGCAAATTCTTTGCTACGCACATCTGTTCACGTCTACTCTAGACTTCTTCTTCTTGGGTTAGGCCACACCGATTTAATTTTATGGATGACATCCTCTGAAAACCCCCAAACTAGTGCGCGCGGGCGAAAAAAAAAAAATTCCGGCCAAAAATAAAAATGCTACTGAACCACAGGAATACAAAGCTGGTATTGTGAATTACCGACAGTACATAGTGACGTATACGACAAGCCGGCACATGCTGGCTTTTTGTGGCATTTATGAATCGGTACTATACTTATGTACTGAGTTCTTTAGTCGTGGAGCTTCGAATTCGATAGCTTGGGTGCTCGGCACCGTTTTGTCGCTGACTAGCATGGACTACCCAGGCTTAGAGCCAGGCCAGAGCCTCGATGGAAGTGATCTTCTTTTTTTTTTTGAGGGCGACAGGCGAGAATCAATGCGCGCGCGGATGTCATCCATAAAATTAAGTCGGTGTGGCCTTATTAAGCGTGTGTAGGTTTCACACATGACGCTCCTTACCTTTAATAGGGCAGGCTGTCTTCGGGGCTCTAATAGTTTCCTCCCGCTCAGTACAACAGGCCTCCCGTTGTTACTCAGTTTGGCACGATCGTGGTGGGCCTTTGCTATCTTTAAACCAGCGTTTGGCGGTTAGTATAAGGCTGTAACAGAGGGGAAACTTTATATCACAAAACCTATCCCTCAGAAAGCAGTAAATAGTGTCTTTTAAGGGATATGAATTTTGACGTTTTCCATGGAGGATGCCGGACCCCTTACTGTGCACGTGGTCACGTGTTCCGTACTCCGTACACTGCTTGCGCCACGAAAAGTTGGTTTTCTGCCCCCCCCCCCAAGCTGTGAAACTTTGAACTTTATACATTCCAACTAACCCGGCAGAAGTGACATGATTTTATGGTGACCTTCTGAAATACGCTGATGAGGTTACGACATAAAATTAGACAGTGCTAATGCTGAAGAACAAGCTAGTCCAATTATGAAATAGTCTGGAGTTTTCAGTTGTAACACTGAGACAAACCTGTAGCCTCTACCAGGCTACGGAAAGCGGCCGAGAGGAGTAGGAATTGGCCATATAGAGAGATAACATGCAAGGGAACTTGGTCCGCTAGAGAGTACAATTTGCCAAAGCCTGGTAGAGGCTATTTGATTTGCTATCATTAATGGAACCTTCGATTCAATGAAGTCTTCTATGCTCCAAATAACTATCATTCAATCATTTTAGCGTCGAAAACTC